TTTTATTTATATCTGTAATATGTTCGTGTAATCTGGTCTTTAGTTATCTTGTTTGACCAACATAACTTACGTCACAATCATTACACGAAATTTTATAAACCACTAATATAAGAAGGAAATTCTCTCACTAAGAGAGAAGGGCCATGAGCCAATAAATTCATTAAATTCTTTTAATTTATTCTAATATATTGCAAAGAATATCACCTAATTTTGGCGTTTCGTCCCGGCTTCCACTACTGGATTCATCAGTAAGGTATTGTAATGGAAGCCTACTTTATACGCCGGTGTAAGTTATTAAATCGAGATTCTATATAAAGAGATATACGCGCATTTCAGCACTTGCGAGAATTTGCGAATATCTATAGACCTCTGATGGCGGGTCGACGTAGTAATATTCTTTGCAATATTTATCCATAGTAATGTATGAATTGCCCCCCACCTCCCCAACTTGCGCGCCGAACAATCGTCGGACTTGAAACGCAACCCTATTTGAAAAATCCCCCCCAAATTGCGCGCCGAACAGTCGTCGGTCTTGAAACGCAACTTATAATAATCTGAAAAACATCCCCTTAACTTACACCGGCGTATAAGGTAGGCTTCCATTACAATACCTTACTGATGAGTCCAGTAGTGGAAGCCGGGACGAAACGCCAAAATTAGGTGATATTCTTTGCAATATATTAGAATAAATTAAAAGAATTTAATGAATTTATTGGCTCATGGCCCTTCTCTCTTTATATTAGTAGTTAAAATACATATTGAGTCTTGTCACAATCTACATTTTTATAAACCACATTTTGATTTTGTAAATATTCTAATTGGTCTTTTCCTCTTTTTATGTAATTATTTAAAGTATTTGGAATAGTAAAGGCTAATCTACTATTACAAACGTTAGCAATAGGAGTGAATTTTTGTGATACTGAATCTACATAAGGGATTGCAAAAAATTTATTTAAATTATTATTGTTGTTAGAAGTATTATGATTATTAATATGAAACTTAATTCTATTGTGGATCGTTGCAAATATAAAATTTAAAGGGTATCCGTTATTAAAAAAAATTTTTATAGCTTTAATCAAATTGTTTTGTTGAATCCTGGGGTGACACAAACGTACTATCTTGTCTACATTTTTAATGTACATATTATATTTTAATTGTTATAACACTTTAAAATATTATTTTTGTCCCCGGTCTATCCTACGGAAATAAAGAAAAGGGTAGACAATTTTTTTGGTCGCTAGAGAACAGCAGTAGCGTTGGAGAGGATACAGTTTAAAAAGCGGTTTGTGCAACATTACTGTGTCAATCGTTTTCAAGAATTCGTTTGGTTGTAATCTCCAGCGCTATGGATACGTATAATCAACATGAACCTTAAGTATTTCACGTATATCTATCTGTATATCATGTATATCAGAATAATTTAAAATTTCCTATAGATTAGAGATTACTTATGTATTTTCTTTCATTTCACTATTTGTAACATCATGAGAAGAACATTTGCGCTGACACCGACAGTGTACAAGGTTCTAAATATTGGAATTGCTGCTGAGCCAGTGTCTCACGTTGAAATTGTGATTAGCGACACCTCAGGCAACCGCATTATTCTGCCGCACGCCACGTGGACGGCGTTCGTCGAAAAACGGTCGGATATTGAGCAATTGGTGCAGTCAATTACTCCATAATCATTGATGATTCACAATCTTGTGATTGAACTCGTCAAAATACGTGATGTGGACACTGTGAAATTATCTTTATGTGAAAAGTGTATGTATATGAAGCCGTCTACCGTACTCTTTATGCTTGAACTTGAACAATATGTCGAGCACGTATATTTCGATTTGTGTCAATATACAAATAGCGTTAGTGAAAAATTTAAATATTTTGTAAGTTATTTACGTAACAATTGTATTACGAACAAATTGGAAGCGGTAAACACTTTGCGTAAGATTTGTGATAAAAATTTATATATTGAATGTGAATTGATTTTATACGCTTCAGATAATATTATACATTATACGTTACATGAGTAATAAATGTGTATACATGTGTGCATAAAAATAATGAATAATTATATTAATAGAATATCTCAGTATATTTATCATTATTTGCTTCCTTCCATCCTTCCTTCGCGCGGTATCGCGTTACATCGCGTTGCGACAGCGTTATCGTGCGTGACAGCCTCACCGCGTGCGACGGCGGTATCGGGCTCGATAGAATAAAATAATGAAAACTAACTGCAAAAATTTGATCCTTCCTAAATTAAAACGGTTACCTAACCACAAAATAGAAAACCCAATAAATTTCAACCAAACAGAAAGCGAGTTAAAAAAGAAAAGTCTGTTAATGATTAAGAGAACGTACGTTACTTCTGTTTGATGTGTTCTCAAGAATACATCGATCCAACCATCCGAAGACTGGATCCAGTGCAATCAATGCACTCATGAAGGCTGCACAACATATAGAGGATTTGGCAGCTACTTTTGTGACGATTGCCAATATTAATTTTGATATTTGTTTATTATATTCTAATTATTCGAGTAATATTTGGTTTACCCAGGGGGGTTGGGTAAAGCGGATGATTTTTCTTTTCTTACATTTTTATTTAAAATACATATAAAAGTAGTATAGTACCACTATGGGGACCCGCCTGTGACGTCACTGGCGCCATCCCCCTCCACTACGGCGCCAGTGGTACAGGCGGGTCCCCATAGTGGTACTATGTTACGAAGTAATAGTACTTCCTCTACTACTGACGTTATCCCCACCACTACGACGCCAGTGGCACACTCGGTTCCCCATAATGATGCTATTTTACGAAATATAATATTAGTAATCCCTCTACTACTACTACTAACATCATCCCCACCACTACGACGCTGGTGCCACTGTCGGATCCCTATAGTGCTATTATTTTACGAGGCGATAGTTGTAATTAATAGCTAAGTGTAATGAGAGAGAAGGGTGATAGAAATGTTTCATTGAATTAATATATAAATGTATATCCTACTTATTTTATTGAAAATATATTAATGATTACAATTTTATTAAATTTTAAAATCTTTAACAACAAATGTAAATGATTACAATTTTATTAAATTTCAAAATCTTTAACAACAAATGTAAAAAAGATATTTTTGTTGTTTTAAACATTTACGGTATTGTCCGGGTGTAGACTGCTCGTCTCTTTGCTAACGTTAGCACTGGTGAGTGCAAGTGGACCAGCATACTACTGACGTCATCCCCACCACTACGACGTTGGTACCGCTGTCGGTTCCCTATAGTGCTACAATTTTATGAGATGATATTAATTCTCTCTCTCTACTACTACTACAACGTCGATGTGTCCCCATAGTGCTGCTATTATACGAGACAATAGTTGTAACTAATAGCTAAATGTAATGAAGGGGTTATAGAAATATTTTATTGGATTATAAATGTATATGTACTTATTTTATCGAAGACATATTAATGATTACAATTTTATTAAATTTCAAAATTTATATATATTTATTTATTTATTGGACATATAATAATGCATGGTTACAAGTTTTTTTTTTATTAAATTATATACTTATGTAAAACTATGTTAAACATTTATTCTTATGTTCGCGAATAACAGCTCTGCGTTCGTGATACAACATTTGAATTAGAAATCCCACGGCCTATAAATTGATTTTCTTTAGAAATGTAATGACGCCTCATATATGAATTGTAATAATCGCGTCTATTTTGTCATTTCTTGATAAATTGTTCGAAAAAATATCATGAAACTGATGCATCCCAAAACCAGTACACATAAAGTGCACAAATATAACACAAAATTGTCCACATACATCAGAGGTATTACTTTGAAATTGTTGAGTGTTGTAAAATAAGGTTTTACAGTTTTTTCTATAGCGGACGAGATGCTGTGGGATGATAGGTGGTAACCTGTAGCTGTCGAAATAGTATCCAACGCCGTCCCGTCCGACGTACATAGCGACCCAATGTGTTCCAGGTTTTGTATGGTCGTCAGTATTAGCGATACTATTATCGCTGCTATAGCAGGTTTACTCCAAAACGTAGGTATCTCGTCCGCAGCATAAACGCCTATAGTATCGCAGGGTATGTTTTGTAAAGCAGCCCGTAATTGCAAACTATTCATAGCCACCAAGAATTTTCAAGAGAATTATTTTCTTCTTCTTCTTCTTTTGTATTATGACTATTATCGCGGTTATACCATGTCATAGAAAACGATGGAGGCGACAACGGTGTTGACAAATATGCAGAATCCAGAAAGGCGTAATCTTTAATCCACTTTCTTATCCGCAATGCATTATTTAAAGCACATGTATATTCCCGATTATTTGTCTTGATTTTTATACTATGAATGAGGCATGTTTGCTTTAACTGCGGTAATTGATGAAATGGTGGACATTTCTCCTCTTTTTCTAAATTTATAATGTTTCTACTTGTAATACGATGGAGCTGATTTATCTCGGCCTCTTATAAATATTCGGTTTGTAAATTGTGCAATTGTCCTCAAATGTCGACATAAGTTTTTATACGGTGTCCTTCAAACCATTCAATACCATGGAAATTTTTACTGAGCCAATTGTTTTGAGATTTTGAACGGGTGATAGCTCGGTAAAGGAGTATGGTTATGCAATAATCCAATGAGCGCAATGGTCGTTATTTACGGAGACAATAGCAACTTCTTTTGGAAAAAAATCTTCCTCCATATTCTTGAATCCTTGTATATCAATAACGATATTCATATTTATAATTGTAAATGCGAGAAAGATATATATATATGAATAACTGGTAGTGTAGTGTATACACTCAAAAAGTAGTACCGACTGATGATTGAAGTTATATGCTCATAATGTTTAAGCTTTTCGTTTCTATAACATCCGTTCTTATAATGCTTGTTCCCGAAGTTCTTTTTCCTATAATGCCTATATTAGCCTACTACGAATTCTCTCTCTCTCTCGTTCTTAACCACCATAGTCTACAATCACCTATCTTGATGCATCAATCTCCATAATATTGTCATATTCGGCATAAATAATACAATTTATCGTATTTTCTAATGCTTCTTCGAAACGAACTTCGATTCTAACATTACCATGCTTCATTAAATTCCAATGCGTAGTATCATTTGCTGAAAGGTCCGGTGTAAGATCAAATGCAAAAAGACAATAACCGTTTGGATAATTCTTACGAGAAATAGCATTGCCCTCGTTTAAAAAATGAATTCCTGTTCCAGAAAAAAGAGTGTGATAGGCCTTCATATATAATTTCTCCTTTGTAAAATCGGGTTGTAACGATTTGCTAGGTATTTGTGTATCATCCACGTACAGAGATAAAAAATTAATTTTGTAATGATGAAAATTAAAAGGATTCAGCATACGATTACCGTTAAATGCTCTATTATCGACAAAACCGATAATTAAACGTTTCGGTATTTGGCCTAATATCACATTGTCGAGCGTTTCACCGTATATACCACTGTGTATAGATATAGGTTTCACTTCGACACGTGTGAGGGGGTATTTTGCTGTGGTTTTCGCAAGAGCTTTGGCACGTGCTAACAACATACCAGGTGAAATTTTTGAACGTTTAACAAGAAGTGTAGCATCAATTATATGAACTTCGAAATTTCGTTCGGTTTGATCCATAAGGCAGAATGTATCTCTCGATCGCACTATTCGTAAACGCATTTCTACACCATTTATTAAAAATCTTTCTTGATTAAAAACATCACAGCGTAAATGCCCCATAAGATCAATTTTCGGCTGTCAATACGCGTCGTTTTACAAGGCCATTGTTTGCGTTGAGTAGATCATCCGCTTTTATCTTCGTACCACAATACGCTTGTTAAATGAGAGTTTTTAGCAGCAGGACCATAATTAAGTAATGTCTCTATGTAAGCTCTATAAGCGTAAGCATTATTCGGTGGTGATATAAGTTTTTGATTGAAAAATACATCTACCTGATTGAATAATGAATGCATAAAATTATTCACAGGCCCGACATAATCAGTGGTATCTCCATCTTTTGAAGGCTCTTTATGAATCGTTGGCCTTATTTGGACACTGATGCTTAATATTGTATGCGGTAGATCGATGTATTTTTCTCCTAGTCCGGGTGTTCGGTACTCGTCTTTAGTTTCCCTTCCGCGACAGCGACTGCTTACGAAATCGACCGAATTCACGGATCGTTCCGCAGCGCGATAGCGTACCGCGCAATCTTCCTCGATCAAGAGATTAGAAATCAATGGCCGTTCTAACGCAACGACACGTGCACGTATCGTCTCGCCACCCAAGTTTATCATCGCGTCGTCAGTCGAGTTACGACAGCAGTTTGTTCGCGAGTCTTCGCCTGCACTTGAGGCTTTCTTAATAAAGAGTGTAAAAATCAGAGAAACAGTCGTTTTCTCGACCAAGCCCCTTCGACGTGGTTACCTCGGGAACGCTTGGGCAACGATATCAAGGCTACGCCATTACAATCTACAAGTAAGCGCAGCACGATCGTTAACACCGGGTACTACAAATTCTATAGGTGAATCATCAGTTAACAATGATATTGGCTTGTAGTGTATCCATTGTGAACTTTCGATTGTGGCTTGCGTTGGTGGAACAGTGAATAATTCCAATTCCGATTTGAGACATTCGCATGAATGAGTGTGTAAAAAAGACATATTTGCTATTATTTTACGGCGAATATATTAATGAAAAATGTCAACAACAGTACGATTGTTTCGAGAATATCTCTTTTTCTTTTTATTTTTTAACGTATTTGTCTTAGATCGAATTGTCTTCTTCTTTTTCTTCTTCTTCTTCTTCTATTCTTTCGCAATATGACCACTGTCACGGGTGTGTTAATTAAATGTTTTATTTTCGACTCTCTCATGGATTTATATCCTGATCCTTTCATAAGAATATCGATCTTTTCTTCGGCTTTCCGTTTTAAATTTGTAGCTGAATCTTTCATGCGAGTATTAAAAGCTTCTTTGAATGGAACATCTTTTTGTATTACATCGCGAGCTACGTTCATTCCAGAACGAACAACTTCTTTACCAATTGCCTTCGCACCTTTTGATAAAAGAGGTAAATCACGACGAAAGAGGCCTCCAAGGAAACTACCAATTCCATGACCGCGTTGATTTGATGTACCAATGTACACATGTTCAATTCCGCTTTGCCGACCACCGCCGTATTGGATATCAAAATATTCATCATAGGCTGTCATTTCTTTTAATGTATTATTTAATCTAATCTTTTAAAGTGAAGCGTTACAGTCAATGTGCCATATTCGAATGGTATAGGTTGCCCAAATTCATCTCTTATATCGATCTCAATTGTTTGAAAAGACGTATGAAGTAGAGGTATATATTTAGCCGTTGAGAAACTTTTATGTTTGACTGAACCATAAACGTATGCTTCTATATCTAAAGGTACGGTACGGAGCAACGGTGTTTGCACATCACCTATAATGTAAGGTTCACATATATCCGTGTATATAAACATTGAAGTAGGTAACGCTCTGATTAAACTAGCTGGTCTAGATGATACCTAAGACATATCATTTAACGATATATTATATTCCTTCGTATTATATCCGAATATCCGTGCCAATGTTGGAGATAGAAAGAAAGTATGCTCGTTATTTACACAATGTACACATGAACGCTGTGCACTAACATAGTCATTTTTATTTACTGTAAAAGTTAAATGATCTTTCATCGATGTTTCATTAACTGTTTCGACAAGATCATCGATTGAACGGTACAATCCCCGTGGCACAATGTAGTGTTCGATTCTATTTTGATTCTACATCATTTTTAAGAACCTCAGATGTATAGAACAAATTTCTTCTTACTGTGGTTTTTTCATCTTTCGGGAAATGAAGAAATGTCATAGGTATTTGAATATCTGTTAGGGATACACCCCATTCGCCTTGTAAACGTAATTGATGCGGTAAGCGAGTAATAAAATGAGTCGTTGTATTATCCGGAAAATATGAGGCACTGCTATTACTAGGCAGAACTATGTAAAAATTATTCCTCATTATAGATATTTATTTGTTTTTTATATCCTTAGGATTTATCTACGTATTAAAATTTTCTGGAAAACCATGCCAACTAATGAGAATACGTTTCGAACGACCCCGACCCTTACTTCGAATTATTTTCTAAACTGTAAGATTTGTCTTTGCATAATCTCGGTGGATTCTAGTTAATTCTTCTTCGTAAAAGAGCCCATCTATATCTTCGCCGTGAAGATCTCTTAAGAAGTAGACTGGCGGTTGTTGGTGTGTGGAAACGCGTATTATAAGAAATATCTCTTTACTCCAGCCACCTTCGTAACCTTTCGCGAACGCTGCTTTGTAGCTACTGATTCGCACAAGGTCTCCAACCTTGTATTTAGGAACACGAGTACGTTTACTAGCATATCGGTGAGCGAGATGTTGTTCTAACAATCCGAACATTATTCAATGTTACATTACGCGGAGCCATTTTAATAGCGGTGTGATACGAGCGATTGTACGCATCAACAATATTTTGTAGAATATGAATATATCATTTATTTTTTGTAAATGTAAAATATCTCCACATGTGCTCCTTCAGCGTTCTATTGAGGCGTTCGACAACTGCTGCTTTCACCTATATCGTTTATTTTTTGTAAATGTAAAATATCTCCACATGCGCTCCTTCAGCATTCTATTGAGACGTTCGACAACTGCTGCTTTCACATCCGGATTACGAGCTACACGAAAACCAATTTTTTCGTTCTTCAAGAAAAGTTGTGTAGCTGCGCCTGTAAATTCTTTACCACGGTCAGTCTGCAAAACAATAGGACGTCTTCCTTTACTGCGTGCCAGTATACGTGCTAATGCTAGTGCAACACTTGCGCTTGTTTTATTACGCAATTTTTCAACCCAAGCAAATTTACTCAAAACGTCGATAATGACGAGCAAATACGCATAATTATCGTTATAATTTTTAATTGCGCGTAGATCCACGATATCTGCTTCCCACAACCATTTGATAGTTTTATTTCGGGAAACAGTTTTATTAGTTTCATGCAATAATTTTGGTGCTCCGGAAAAAGATGCTGGATGAGAAGGGTCGTAATAAATTGTTTCTAGTTTTTTCATTCTTACAATTTAGATGCCTTTCTTTTTTTATTCAAAAGAGATCAACTTTCCCAATTATTGGCGCTACAATAGTTCTCACTGACGTTATCGGTATTATCCGTCGGAACCTCGCTTGAGTCAGATGTTTGGCTCGCTGCTGTAACACCGCTTGACAATATGATATTCGGTACTCGTAGTGTGCTAATGGCGTTGCCAGGTCTTGGACTATCTGACCAAAGATCTTGATTTCCTATAAATTCACGAGGCACCTTTACACTACGCAGAAATGCGGCAAAATGATGTCTTCCGACAGGTCTTGCCGTTTTTCTGGAGCGCATAGTGTCATTTACAAGATCGACAATATTAGATTCGGCTACTTTTGTACCGTCGATAGAGACACCATATTTATCCCAAACAAGTCTGTCAAACGCATTAGACTGTAAATGATTTAATAAAAGTTTAGCTTTTTGCCGATATTTTAACGGCACACTAGCCAAAATGAATGAATCACCCATCCGATCTTTTTCTATTTCTTTCATCTCCTCCCCATCTGAGTAGATAGCAGATTTGACAGTTGCATTATGCTTTGCTTCTTCTACGAAGTATAAATAACGCTGTAGTATTTGAAGGTAAGCCTTGCATTTTTCTCTTTCATCCACAAATTTATTTGAATTGAGAATTTCACGCATTTCTTCATCTAACCTGCTCAATGTAGTACCAGGCGTTTGAATTGTTTTATTATTCAATACGTGAGTTAATTGCATGACTTTTTCTTCCGGTACCAAAACCATTTTTTTTGCGTGTTCCATTATACTTTATTTCGGAGCTATAAGGCGGGATAATACACTACCTAGTATAGGTGCTAGTAACAAAGGTAAGAATCCACCCCGTTGCACGATCAAGCGTTTTTTACTCTTCCAAGAATCGTTTTTATCGGCGAGTCGACGTAATATGGCGGTAAAACGTTTCAAACGTCGTTTATATGGTTGTTTAAGTGGTACATTGCCGTGTAATATATTTAAAGCACACTCGCATATGCATCTAACAAGTTTCGGATCAGCCTTTTTCAAGATAGCAATACGTTACTCGTTAGTGAGGTGACGTAACGCTTGTAGTATTGCAGCGTGTTTTTGGCTGAAGATATGAGCGTTTGGTGCCATTACAAACTTATTGAATTTGAAGTTTGAAAAATATATTCACAATCCTTTTATTGTTGTATATAATTTACATTTACAACAATCTTTAATTAACGGTATTGGACCATCAATATGCGATTGTTGAATCGATAGGTTATAATGTTCTAAGCACCGCCAATAGCCACGCACTTCTGGGTCTCGTTTTATATACTCGGGGAGCTTATCCCATAGATAATCTATGTGATTGCTGAACTCTCGTAATAATATAACCTTTGGTATAAATTGTAATTGTTCAGCAGTCAAGTCGTTGATAATATTATCACCCGTCAATATGAGAAACATTTTAGCTACTGACAAGTAGAACCCAGGAGCGCTGCAGAAGGATCTGAAAGAAGCTAACAGAG